GAAGCAATATTTTATTAGATGTCCTCATTTGCCACAGTAATAACATTTTCTTACTTGTAGCTTGGGTTTTGATTGGTTCTTATTCTGATTTCTGAACTTAAGAAATTGTGGTTTCCCTTTCTTATGAGAATTGAAATTGCATTGGTTTCCCTTCTTGGTCTGATTAACTTTCTCCCTAACATTCAAGCCTTTTCCAAACTCGGAATCCCTAACTTCAGTTTTTAATTCTAATTCTCTGTTTCTTAGAGATGATATCACAATATCATCAGTAAGATCAGTTCTCCCATACTCAAAAGCATTTCTCGGTTCTCTGTATTCATCACCCAGTGCATTCAATAGGGCAACAACTTGTTGATCTTCAGATAATTTTTCATCACAATTAGTCAATTCTTGAACCAATCTTGTAAATTTGTCAATGTTCTCTTCTAAGTTGGAAGACGGATTAAATCTGAAATTGTAGAATTGTCTGAGAAGATAACATTTGTTAGGCATGGTCTTAGTTAGATAGAGAGATTCTAACTTGGTCCAAAGACCTTGAGTATTAGTAGTTTCCCCAACCTTTCTACTTTCAGTATCAGACAGATGAAGAAATATAGAACTCCAAAAAATCTCATCTAACTCTTGTCTCCTATAGATACTAAATTCAGGGGCCAAGTCCCATCAATAGCAGCAACACACCTCTGTTGTAACAACAAAGCCCTCATTTTCTAATGCCACAAACTAAAGTCTCCAATCCCTCTCCAAATTTCTACTTCAACTTTGTGTGCAGTGGACATGATTACAAACAAACTTACAAATTCAAGTTTATATAACACACAGAGTATAGCAAGTATAGACAGTGTAATGAAAGATAGTAACATGATAAGTATTTGATCAGCAAGTACAGATATATCAAAATATATTATCAATTTGACGGGTTTAAGGAATGATAACCCTTTAATCCCCTACTTCCTTTGATTCCCAGATCCTCAAATGAGATCTTGGGCAAAGGAAAGCAGATGAGGATTAATTACGTTAATAACCAAATCAAAAATAGACAATGTAGTTTAGTAATTCGTCTAAGAAATGAAAAAATGTGTAAGGAATTATACCAGAACTGAAACGTTAATGTTTCAGAAGGAAAAGTAGTATAGGAAAGTACCAGAACCAGTTCAATTATTCAAAATAGAGAACAGACCACCAACGAGTCAAGCAACTCAGTGTGATCAAGAGTGAGTCAGATAAAACTAGTAGGAATCGGAGTTAGTCAACTCAAATCGCTATCACTCAGAACGAATTCTCAAAAGAACCACCACTCAATAATGAGTTACAACCAAAGCACCAAGAACTCAGTATGAAAAACAAGATTTTTAAAGATCAATTCCAAATAAATTTGTTTTTCACAAGAAATACCACGAATCAAAAAATCTTGATGGTCAGACACTAAGCATCAAGAGGTTTTGAAAAAGGGATCCAATCAAGAATTGGATCGAAGAACAATAGAACGAAAAACTTTCAGAAAATCGCAATTTGTTTTTCAAAAAGAAAACATGGGTTTTGAAAAGCATACAGATCTGCAAATCGTTTCAATTGAATACCCTAATCCCCCTTTTAAGGAGACTCTGATACCACTTGTTGGTTTCAGAATCGAAATCTTTGTACCAAAAACAAAAAACAGAGACAAGAATTGCAGAAAGTAAAAACATACAGATTTTTCACCCTTAGATCCCGGATGTTCAGCTTAACGGCCTACTCACTCGTTGAGCATCTACTGAGTAGATTACGCTCGAATCCACTAAGAATCACAAAGAACAATACAAATGTATGTTTGATTTCTTCACTAATGTTTTCTCTCGCCTCTCCTATACAGTATTTCTCCTCACAATCACTAAATATATACAAAATACACTAACAATATCACTAAGACATTTACAGAGATCAAAACATGATATCTCAAGAAGATGAACAGCGAGGGAATGACTAGAGGGAAGACTGAAGAGAAAACCCTATAATAGCAACAGTTCAGTGAAGAATCCAGAGAGAAAGAAAGTTATAAAAACAACCCTTAAACTATCCAATCCAACGGTCCAGAGCATGCCAGGTGTAAGGCCAAGATTAATCAATTTAAACAAAGCAAACTGATAGCCCAATAACACAGCAAAGCCCAAAGAGAGCAAAGACCCAATGTTTGGGTTAAATACCCTAATGGCCACCCAACTGTATACTTGATGTCACTTGATCACCAAATTTGATTTTGTTTCACAATGGCCACTCAAATTTATACTTAGTGTCACTATGACCACCCAATTTGATTTTATTTCCCCAACGCCATCCAATTTCATATAACGTTTCTCTATGCCAACCCTATTTCATATAACAATTCACTATGGTCACTCAACTTCTTTTTACCATTTTCATTAATTTTAAAAGGGGTAAATTTGTAACTTTAAATTATATATATAAAATAAATTTAAAAAAAAATTTAAAAGAATAATTATTTTAAAAAAATAAAATAAAATAAAAACTTATATCAAAAATGTTTTTAAAATAAAATAAAAACTAATTTTTTTTTAAAAAAAAGTTACTTAGAAAAATAAAATAAGATAAAGACTTATTTTAAAATAAACGTTTTAAGTTTTTTTTTTAAATAATTTTTTTTTATTTTTTTATTTATATAATGCAAAGTTACAGTTTTATCCCTTTGAAAATGAATGAAAATGGAAAAAAAATTTTGAGTGGCCATGGTGAAATGTTATATGAAATTGACTGTCCATAGTAAACGTTATATGAAACTGGATAGCCTTTGTGAAAAAAATCAAATTGGGTGGTCATGTTGACACTAAATATAAAGTTGAGTGGCTATGGTGAAACAAATTCAAATTGAGTGACCATGATGACACCAAGTATAAGGTTAGGTGGCCACCATTGTATTTAACCTAAGATATTTTCTAATGAATAGTGGGGAAGCAGTTTGACTATAGTAGGGAACATGTATGAGAAAATCAGGTGTGAACACTCTGCCACTATAGTGAACAGTACAGGGCTGATTCTCTCTTTTAAGGTAAATGTAGAATATCTGTTCATCTACAAAATATATCCAAGATTCGCAGAATCTTGTGGGCCCCCAAGTGACTTTTGTGTGTCTAATAATTAAAAAATTGTTAGGTAAATGTTGCACCAATAGTCGGATGTCTTGAACTAATGGAAAATAGTAAAATACCAAATTCACCATTAAATGTAACGTTACCTACACACCATTTAGAAGCGACATAATATACTTTTGTTCGTAGTCCAAGATCAGCAAAGGATTTTGTA